TGCCAGCGTACGTCAATTACCCAACTACACCACAGTATATTCTTTTTAAACAAGCTTCATTAACTAAAAAAAGTCATGTTGTTTGACAAGAAGCCTCCCTGTGCTTACTTTTTAGACTTGGACGAATGTACCACTGGTTCCCATTCCTGTGACGTCAATTCCGTTTGCCAGAATACCGTGGGTTCATACAAATGCTCGTGTAATGCTGGGTACACAGGAGATGGAAAACCTTGCAATGGTATTTGAGATACAGTTGATCCTCCATGTTCGACCACCTCTCCTAAGCGACGCATAAGCCGAAATGGAGCTACACATATCGTAACTTTTAAATTGCATACAATAAAAATTAATTGCTTTTCAAAGAGACGACCTGTTAATGTTCGATTTTTGTAAACGACACCTTCCCTTGAGCGACTCTAATCTGAAAGTTCTTAAACAAGACGACAAAACCATTGAAGGTGCAATGTTTGTGTGCAAAAGCTCATGTCATTTTGGAAAACCATATTTGTCAAAACATAAAAACAACAAACAAACAAGAACCAAAAAAAATTAATACGTCACCTTAGCGACCAGATGTAAACCATCAGGTAGATTTAATATTAGTTATCCTAACGCTTTACGTAACTTACAATTCTCATGCAGATATCGACGAGTGTTCTACCAACTCTCACAGCTGTGACGTTAATGCAGTATGTAGCAATACGGCTGGATCGTACGCATGCGCATGTAAAGCAGGTTTCACAGGCGATGGAAAAACATGCTCTGGTAAGCTGTTGCGGTGTTGTAAAAAAACGCGTCCAAAATGATGTGCGTGGCTGCATTTTCTACATTCGATCTTTACATTTAAACATGTAGAAAACGATGGACATATAACCTCAATGGTTCGAAAAATAAATAAAGTAAAACTAGAAATACGTATCTCGCAAACTTTCTCTAAACTCGGTCATGCACAGTCGTCAAGCAAAACCGGTTAGAAACTGATTGGGTGACCAGGGTCTAATCTGTCGTAAGACCTGGAACTCCTTTCTCTTCTGTTTTCTTTTTGTTTAATTGTCCGATTTGATTTTCAAATGCGTTGAATCAACCCCTTAAGAGTTTCTGGTGTAGTTCAATGTTTTTTTCCCCTTTGTTTATATGTAAAAAAGGCAAAAAATATCGATTACCTATTGTACTTAAGCAGGATTAACGCATATTAGAGAAAATGAGAGTAAATGACCTTATTGATCAAGACTTTGCTCCATCACTAAACAAGAAGCCTTCCTCACTTTTTTCGCCAGATATCGACGAGTGCTCTACCAACTCTCACAGCTGTGACGTTAATGCGGTGTGTAGTAATACTGTTGGATCTTACGCATGCGCATGTAAAGCAGGATTCACAGGAGATGGACTCACATGCACTGGTGAGCCGTTTGAGTACAATTTTGTTTGTTAGATATGTTTGTTTTTTGAGTGAACCGACAGCAACGACAGCAATGCAAGAGTCTTTTGTGCTCTTCTCGCCTTTTACAGTTAAAGTTTTGGTTAGGCTGGAATTTATACTAATTTTAGTATTGTCTATCTAGTAAACAAAAACAAAAGCGGAGCCAAGCGGCCAGTTTATATGACAAGTGCAACGATGGTGACTGTTCAACCCTGCGATAATTTTTTTTTTTGGCCAAAAAGTCAATTGGTTCGATACCTTAACCGTAAAACAATAAGAAATAATGATAAACAATCATGTGTTATTGTTTCTGCGACCAATGAGGAAACACCTTACGAGCAGCTCTTCCATTAGTGTTTTTTTTTTTTTTTTTTTTTTTTGGCATCACGCTTAAGATAATTCATCTCGTTTTTCTCGTTCTGTTTTCTTTTAACAATGAAAACCGTTTTGATTATACATTTTGGCATTTTTCGTTTTGTAGATATTGACGAGTGCGCCAGCGGTATTCATAACTGCCACAGTTCACTTGCTTCATGTACAAATACAGTGGGATCTTTTAGTTGTTCGTGCGACAATCCTTACACTGGAAATGGCAGAGCTTGCAATCTAGCATCAGGTAATCAACTCGCCGAATATTAGGAAGATGTCTGTTTACTAAACCTCTAATAATTATGCCGGCATAGGGAACGTCGTTACATCCGGTAGGATTGTCCTAATACTCATTTCGTACCTAAGTGACTAAACCAGCCTTCAACAAATGTTTGAGCTTCTCACTCTTCTCACTCGTTCAATAATTGTTGAATATATGAACTGATTATGACTAAATAAGGTTATCTCAATATAAGCTTCAATAGAAGACGAACACTTTGAACTTGTCTCCGCCATGTTAAGGCGGGGAACAAAAAAATCATTATGTCCATCACGATATGTGCACTTTTACTTTTAATCAGGCGAGTTTATTTCCTTAATTTTGCCGATTAACTGCGAAGCGGTTAACTTACCGTCGAGAACCAACTGTTACCTAAGTTCTGCAACTTTAAGTTGAACAGAGGAAGACTTAAGTTAGTGGTCTTAGTTATTTGGCGATAGGGTAAACATATCTTTTTTGTCGACTGGAGATATAAACTGCATGCATTCGGAGATAGACCCAAAGCAAGAGACAGAGAATGTTCCACTAAATCCTAATTCGCTAGTATCTTTTTCCCCTTTTTTTAGCATATTGTGTCTTATATTTTGTTTTTATTCATTCACGGTGACCTTTGAAAGAAATTCAGTTTGCTGCATCCGCTTTCCTTTCCCTTACAGTGTATTTTGTTTCGCTCTTCTTTTACTTTATTCTTATTTATTAATTCTGTGCAAATTTGTTTTACGACATTTTACCCAGAACGCCAAACGAAGATAAACACGACTTCAATCAGTAATATATTCGTACCGTGCGCAACATTACATTGGGGGAGCTTAAGCATTGAAGACCGCCATAGTAATAAATTTAGATTAGCAACTTTGCACGTTTATCATGCTTTACTGAATAAGGTGAAACTTCCTTGACAAAATTATCAATATTTACTAGGCGTATCGTCCAATGGACTTTATGAATTTAAACACTTGGGGCGGGGAGGGAGGGGGATTAATTCGGTCTGAGGGAAAATACGAGTTAGAATGGCTGAAACAATTTAATGCAGATAAGGATGAACGTTTTATATAAATAGTAATGCAAATGAACTGTTATGTAATACGGTCATCCTAATTTGCAGCAAAATGAAAAGTCAAAACGTACTTGAACAAAAACAATCGAAGTAAAAAAAAAATCACCCTAAAACAAACAACAACAAGAACTTTTGCCCGAAAAAAAAAAAACCTTATTCATAAAAAAAAAAAAAAAAAAAAAATTCTCGAAGTTTTTAAAGTGAGAAACACCAGGTCAATCCAATTTCACTACTGATATCGGGCCAAGGAGAAGCTGGTGAAGCCGGAGACACAAACAGTTCTTACATGTACTAGTCACTGACCGGTTTGCGATTCTGCAAAACTTATGAATTCCCATTATGTCGCGTCGCGTCGTAGTTAGATGGAGCGACACTCTCTTTGAACGTTTTTCCCTCTTGTACGATTCAGAATAACTGTCACTGCAAATTTATTTAATTTGGATAGCCATTTTGCGAAGGCAGGTAGACGCTTAAGGCCTGTTTACATGTAAGTAGGGGTCCCCAGGTTTAAGTGAGGTGACCCGCTTAGGTAGGGTAACCCGCCTGTCTTTACAATCTCTCGTATGGTCACCTCCACCTATCATGTAAACTTCATCAAATTAAAATGAGAGATTATATGAACAGGCGGGTTACCCACCTACACGTGAACATTACAGGTCTTTAAAATGTGTACTTGTGGTTGCACGGTGTATTTTCATAATCATATCTGACCAACCTTTGTTATTTAGACTGCTTTTGTGTTCCGATCTTATTATTATTATTTTAAATTGAAAGGAGAAAACCGCTATTTAGCAATCCTATTGAACTGAAATATTAAGTAATAGTAATAATTTATCAGCCGACCCCATAAAATGGCTTTTCGGTCAATTTTACAATTGCAATTTGATAATTAAAAGCATAATTATCTACTTTACAATATGTGAAATTTATAGGGGAAAAAAATGAAATAAGGAAATAACGCTTCTTCACTTCAGCCTTAAGCTGATTGAAATTCGCTATATTACCTGAAGATTCGGGATAGTCATTCCAGAGGCGGACTGCTCATGGCCGCTAACCAGCAGTGAATCGAAAGGAAGGCATGTCTAACTTGTTTCTATTTCGAATATTTCGAGAGTGCACATTGCCCACTTTCATTAACCTATTACAGAGAAGGGACGGGGCAAGTCCCTTAACATATGTTAAATGAACTCGATTTTTTTTTAGGCTTGTCAAAAAACGCAAGGCACGCGTTTTATCACTGGTTAAAAAATCTCTCGCTTGTTACGCTCAAATGTTAAACCAATGATAACACTGCTGTTCATGTTTTAAACATTACTAAACACGGAACGCTTTCAGACTAGAAAACTATGGTTTTTCCTCTTTCCTACATTGAGATACATTACCTTAGAATTCAACACCAAAAACCATTCACCAACATTTGACAATTAACTTGAACGAAATGGAATAAGAGTGATAAAAATTAATTTGAAACAGCGTGAATACACTTTTTTGTGGCGTTTTCGCTCCATGCCGTCGCAGTCGTGGTTGCTTAATATGCTCCTTATATGGAAAGAGACCGTGACTGATAGGGAGACCGGGTATGCCAAATATGGAGAATATGGACTCTACGCCTCCGACTGAATTTAAACTCTGGAGGGGCTAAACTGTAACGTCACTGAAATTCGCAGTAGACTGCGAGATTAAGACCGCACCATTTGAAGACAGGGCATCATGCCGCCAGTACGCAGGCTCAGAAAGAAAAAACTTTATAGGCGTTTGTTATTATGCGCGTTTCAGCCTGATCATTATGATAACAAGCTTCAAGCGCATCTTGACACTTGTTAGCTTGTTTATATAAAGGGAAGATCTCCAGCAAGTCTAGTTCGCTGCTTTCCGTTATTTGCTCTATGAGATCCCTTTACTCACGCGGATCCGTGCAGAAGTAGAAAATAAAATTGCTTGAAATTGCAGGCAATGAAAACAAATAATCAAACAGGAATAGTTCATTCTTCCTTTTGAGTTCGTAGCCATCCTCACTCAAGGGATTTTGAAACTCGACCTTGCTGCCAAAGTTCCAAGGCAACCTTATAGCACAAGACCACTCAGTAAGATTTTTATTTCTGTTTTACAGTTACAAAGGTATAAAGTAAAAGTACAGTATTTTATTACCGACACTACAAACCGCGGGATTTGTGAGTTTTCTTAGATAGCCACATTTTCATAAATTAACTGAGTTATTCGTCGCTCGCTGATTGGCTATAATTTCTATCAATAAGAAACCGGACACACAGAAAATTTTAATTTATGCAAGACGGAACATCTGCTTAATACGGACACCCGTATATAACGGACAGTTTCTAAAATTTACCCTTTAATACGGACACCGATGAATACGGACACAATGGACACTTTTCTGTGTCCTGAGGCACAAATCCTGTCAACCCTGCTATTTACGGGCACTGGCTATCTGCGTACCGTCTATTTTCCTTATCACAATCACGTGCTATTTGTAGACATTTTACACTGTCCAAACAATGACAGAATTCTGGTTTTAAGTAGCAGAATAGCTTGATATGTTTTATTTTAAGTCCGTCTTTCTTTTCGTGTACTATATAGCCATTTTATGATTACTGTCTCACTTCCTTGGCTTTTCGGCACAGTCATTGTTCCTACCCTTCTTCCTCTTTGTCTGCCATAGTCTTTACATCAATACAAGATGTTTCCGGGACGTTTTACGGAGAGCCCACTTAATACGGCCATCCACATGATACGGACACCATGGCATTTCCCCTAATGTGTCCGTATTAACCGGGTTCTACTGTTCGCAGTTTCTTTTTGAAAGCCAAAATGTTTTTTACTGATCCTTTTTCCAAACTTTTGTTAAAGTAAAAAGCAAATTGACGCCAGGTCCGCAGCAACATTGTCAATTTTTCTAGTAGATTCACTCGCCTGGGGCTCGTGCTCGTGGATCCACAACATTCTGACAATGTCATGATGCGATGTTATGATCAATAAGAGGACAGACGATAAAGAAACCAGCGTCAATGTGAGGAAATAAACCAATTTTAGTGCATAAAACTAGAAATACGTTTTCGCAAAAATCTCGCGAAGCTAACGGGGTCAGCAGTGAGAATAAACAGTAAAAAGCCAAAGGGTAAAAAAACGATGAAAGAAAAAAACAAATGGAAGTAGACAAGCCGGGGTTGGAACCCAGTTGCACCCCAACTTCCTCCAGCGAAAAAGTGCGGCCTCTGACCACTGGGCCATGCGACCACTAAGCGCCCATAACTCATCAAAATCAATAGTGTTGAAGTGTTTTTCTCTGCCATTCACACTGTTTGAACCTTATGGAGCTGTATTTATCATGAATTCAAAGATACATTTGAGGAAAAATAACTCAAACGAGTATTTCAAAACCATTTTGCATTATTGCCGTGTTTATTCACTCTCGGGCAGTAAATAGGCCACTCGATTAACGGAGTGGTCTTTTTCTTCGCTGCTCTGGCTGAAGTTCAGGTCACCGTTCTTTTGGTGTTAATTGGGCACTGTTGTGTTTCCAGCCCGCTGTTATATGCCTCATAAATACTTTGCGATTCGCCAGCGTACAATAAACAGAGGATGAATAAAAAGTTGCTGGCCGTGTTGCCTGGAAACCCACAATGCACGATGACGTGCATTTGGCGTCTATTATTTGTTTATGACTTGTTGCTACAATCGGCGACAAAATGAGTTGCGACACTTCGCCCAAAAGTGGGCTTTTTTACGTTTTATGAACTTCAAAAGGAGGAAATATTGCTTTCCTCCCCCATCCCCTCCGTGCAATGTTGTGCCCTTGTTCTAGCTACCTATAGAAAACAACAAACACCCATCAAAGGGTTCTTGGTCCATTTTTTTACGAGAGATAAAGAAGCGTCACTATAAGAACTATACGAAAATGGAGCGTTGTAAATACGTTGTACAAGGCGAATAGTACTACAGGAGTGCTACATACTTGAAAGGCTTAACTTGCAGAAATCACTTTGCGGTTAGACCCTTCTCACCAAAATGATTGAAATAGTTTCAGACAAGACTTCAATCAACTTTGCCTCTATACTCATATTTGGGGGTTCGAAACTGAATCAACGTGACGAAGTGAAATCTTGTTTCATTCACAACATCTCACCGTTTCTTATTGTCTCCAGTCCCGCTGCTAAATCCTCACTACCGGCAGACGGTTATCGTATTTGAAAGCCGATGTAGGCAGTACCCAGCCGATGGCATGCTCCTCCTCGATCTGCATAATTCTTCACATCATACTCAGCCTCATTCAATAATTGTTAAATATATGAAATATTTGTGACTCATAGTAAGGTTCACAATGGAAGAAGAAAACTTTGAGCTTGTTTCCGCCATATGCATGTCAAGGCGGGGGTCGAAAAATCATTACATGATCACGATATATGCACTATTACTTTCATTCCGGACAGTTGAGATCTCTAATTTTGCCGATTAACTGCGAATGCGGTCAACTTACCGTCGAGACCCAACTGTCGTCTAACTACAACTTACTTTAAATTGAACAGACGGAACGTTCGGAGATAGATCCTCAGAGAATGTTCCACTAAATCTTGATTTGGTAGTTAGTATCTTTTTATCTTTGTTAGTATCTTTTTCTTTTAGTATCTTGTCTTTGGATTTTATTTTCATTCATCCGCGGTAAACTTTGAAAGAAATTCAGTTTGCTACATCCGCTTTCCTTTCCGTTACAGTGTATTTTATTTCGCTCTTCTTTCCCCTCATCACAATTTATTAATTCTGTTCCAATTTTTTTCCGACCTTTTACCAAAAACGCCAAACGAAGGTAAATGCAATTAATTCGCAATTAGATGCAGCGACAATCTCTTCGAACGTTTTTTCCTTTTGCGCGATTCAGAATAACTGCGGAAATTTCTTTTCTTTGTATAGCTGTTTTACGAAGGCAGGTAGACGCTTAGGGCCTGTTTACATGGAGGTGGGTGAGGCACCTGTCATGTAAACTTGATCAAATTAAAATTAAATGAGAGATTATATGGACAGGCGGGTTACCCACCTTCATGTGAACAGGTCTTTAAACTGTGTACTTGAAGTTGTACAATGTATTTTCATAATTATATCTGACCAACCTTTGTTATTTTGGTTGCTTTTGTGTTCCCATTTTATTGAGAGCGACTGTCTGTAAATATCGACCAAAATCGGCACAAGTTCCAAATTCGAATTTCGCTCATGCTTTTGTTAAAATTCGAGAAAATTTATTTTGCCCGTTCGGAGCTCAAAATTCACTTCTGGTAAAGCGAAATTTTACACAAATGTCATTGACGCGTACGTCAAACCACAACGGTTTGGCAGCCTTTGAAGAACACGAATAGCTATTGTGAGCCTTTCTTTCTTATAACACGATAAATTTGTGAAAGCTGTAATAATTTCAGTGGCCAAAAAGGTATTGTTAAAAAAAAGGCCTATTGACAATTTCTATCACTCAAAATTATAGGGATAAAATAATGCAAATTTTTAGAATGCGCTTTAACTTAGAATTTCGCAAATTGACCTTCTAAGGCATATCTAGGCCCCAATCTATCAGAATATTGAAACGAATCTCTAGGCAAACGATTTTAAGTAGCCCGCTAGACCTCGAGTTCAACCCTAATTTTGCGGAAAATCGCTGCATTCCAGTTGAGCGTTACACGGCCCGTCACGCAAGCGGTGTTAACGACAGATACACTTTAAACATTCTTTTCAAAGTTGATCACATGCCAAATGCCAGCATACAATCTATATTACATCTTTCAATACACTTACCTTATTTAGAAGAGTCATTTGTTTGGATGTAATATACAGTGCAGAATTGCCCAAAAGTCGGCTTTTTTGGGAGACGTCGGCAAGACGTCGCGACCGAGCCCAACGAAAATAGACTTTAAACAAGTACAGTGGTGTGTTTTATTGATTTAAGCATCCGTCAAAAGGCATAAATACGTTAAATTTAAGACGGGGACAATCAATATTAACTAAATTGAACACTTTATTTTTTCTTGCGAGTTTTCTGTTTCAAGTAATTGTGTGTAAGTGTACATGAAATGTACATTATTCGATGCACCCTTATAAAGGTACTCTGACAAACGTTTCAGAAAATATTTTAACTCGTTCCGATCGACGATGAAACAACATCATCAAAAGCAATTCGCCAAAAACTTTCCTCTACAGCAAAACGGAAAATAGAAAAAAAAAATGTGGCGTTTTACTAATGCTAAAGCAGGAATAGTTGCAGCGCGAGTAAGTTTGAGCTTTTAAATGTCAAATGCTATAAATGGACATACAAACATATATGCATTCTTTTTTATCTTTCCTTAAACAAGGCTTTTCAAAGATAATTACAAAAAAATATGATTACAAACAAAAAGGAGCACACAGTAAATATATAAAAAGTCAGGATTGGCAAAATTATCTAAGAGCTAAGAATTAATCACTATATACGATGATACATAAAATGCAAGAAGCATCGTTTATAAAGTTCTATGCCGAGCAAAGTAGCTTACTTTTGAGCTTTCGTTTGAAGCTTAAAACATCTTTGCTTAGTTTTCATTCATTATCCAATGAGTTCAATATCTTCACTGTTCTGTAATAAACGCTTCTCTGGCCACTCGCCGATTTTTAAAAATAAGGGAATATGTAGCGATTGTGAGTTTCTAGTTTCTCGCCCACTGATTTTAAATCGTTTAGTAAATTTAGTAGCCTGCGCGCAGACGAAATTAAACTCTGGTTAACTCCGTCTGCGAAACAGCGCCGAAATCCTTGTTCTGGACTTCCAGCTGTGTACCCAGATTTGAGTACGCGCCACGATTGGCCAGTTAAAAAAAGCCTTTGTTTTGTTTGTCGTGATCGCCAGTCAGGTTAAAGGGGAATTGGAAACGCACTTCCGGTAATTCGTTGAGTCCGTTGGGGGTCCAGAACAAGGATCTCTGCGCTGCTTCGCAGACGGTACTAATTAGAGTTTAGTTATCGTCTGCACGCAGGCTATAAATTTAGACGTAAGATAATCTGGTACTGAGCCCGTCATAAATTTAAATGCCAGAGTGGCACTTCTAAGATACATTACTGATTTTTTTCTACTGGGAGCCAATTTAATTCTTTTAATTTTTCTGTCTGCTTCCAAAAGCCAGGAGTTTAGTTTTATCTGAGTTAAGTTCTTAGTTCTTAGTTCTAGTAGCACAACTTGCTGACGTTGAATAGGTCCTCTTGTTATATGAGCTATTGCGGCGTCTTCTCTTTCAAATCAAACGAAATTAGTAGGTTGGTGTCGTCCACATAGCTCTTTGCCATGCATTTTATTGGTACAGAGGTGAGGTCGTTCGTATGTATACTAAAAAGAAGAGGTGCTAATATACTCCCTTGGGGTATACCGCTGACACTCGGAAGAGGCTCAGAATCGGAAAACCTGTTGCCTGCCACTTAAATAGCTACGAAACCATTCTGTACATGAAGAAGAAGCTCCTGCATCTTGAAGTTTAGAGATCATCAGTTTGTGGTTGACGCTATCGAAGGCCTTACTCATGTCAAGTAGGACCATGGCTTCTAATTTTTTTTTGTCCATCATGTCTGTTGTTTCAATGACGGACGTTTCTGTTGAATAGAATTTCTTGTTTCCGCTTTGATTGTTCGACAGCCTCCCCTCTGACGTAAGGAATGGTGCGAATTGGTTATAGACGACCCTTTCGCAGTCTTTCGAAACAACCGGCAGAAGCGATCAGTCGGCCCACTGTTACTCGCTTGTTCGTATATATAGTCTGTATCTTTTGGTACTGGAGTCACTTCGGCTAGTTTCCATTGTGTAGGAAACATGTTTGAGGCTATTGATGTGTTTATGACAGAAGTGAGAACAGGAAGAAGGGTAGAGCCCAATAAATCCTTAATTACACGGATCGGAATCCTATCGATTCAGGGAGCTTTATTAGAGGCCATCGATGTAATGATAACTTTTAGGTGTTTACAATCAGTCGCGTTCAATGAGAATGACATCTGTAAACCCTTGCATCGGCATTGGAAAGAACTCTCTGGCACACTAGGAACTAGCCTGATCCAGGCGAAGTGGACAGTGGATAGTGGAAAGTGGCGCGAAATGGAGAGCGGAGGAAAACAAACGTGGAAGAGAGTAAAGGGGGAGAGTAGGAGGAGGAAAAGAGGTTCTTTCGCCCTCTCTCCCTAACCCCTCCCCGTAGCCATTTTTTCTAGCTCACTTTTCTTTACGTTTTCCCAACTGTCCGGGGGCCTGTTACATGTCAACTACGTTTATTCCTTCATTTCCAACTTTTTATGGTATATATTCAACTTGAGCGTCCGCCCCTTTTGGCTCTTTGTTATTCATCAGCAGGAACGAATTTGGTAGTACTAACGACTCAGAAACTGTATTTTTTTTCCTTTCTTTTTTTCTTTTCGTTTTTCTTTGACTGTTTCTATTGTTTTTATTAGGACGTATTTTTCGCTTCTCTCCTCAGTCTCACTCACTCTCCCCCCTCGCTTGCTCCAGATAAGAGGGAACGACCTTTTGTTTTGCTCCAGACCATTTGTTCGCTCGATTATTCGCGCGTTCTTGGCTTGCAAAAAGTACGGGCTGCTTTGTGGTCTGAAAGACTTTGCACTGATTGACGTTCTAGTGTCATGGAAACTCTAGTTGTGATACTGAACTGCAGATGACAGGTTAAAAGACTGAAAGTTCCTTTCAACAGCGTTTCGAAAGAGAACATCGTCTTTTCCGCAAAAAAACAGAAAATAAATAAATAATAATAATAAAAAAATAAAAATAAAAATAGGCAAACAAAATAGAGTATAATACTAATAGAACCTAACAAGAATCTTGTAACGAACGAATGGGAACACCTACAAGGAAAGACAGACTAGAGGACTTTCCTCATCCTTGTTAGCCTTAGTCCATAAAAATTTCTTTGACGCCCATTGTACCCTCTACTGAAAATGTCTTTCCTCATGCTATATATTCTGCGGATATGCCCCTTGGAAGGCACTTATGAAAGTTTGGGTAGTGGTTATGCCGCTGAGCCCGCCTTCAAACCCTGACTCTACTAAGACAAAAAACAGTCATCTCATTACCCTATTTTATGAGACAAAAGACCATTTTTGATGACCTTTCTAGTCCATTTTTATTTTTCACACTGAATTGAGTAATAAAGGGGACAGAAGAACAAATGAAAAAGGAAACAAGACTCACTGATTAGATTATTTAAAAGTTTGTTGGTACCGCACATGTTATACGGCGCACCGCCAAAGTCTACTCCGTGTTCAAGGCCTTTCTTCTACAAAAATAACATGTTCAAGACACTTCGAATTGTTTAACCTGTTTAAGAATCAAGGCACCCAAAACCTTACCCTTGTCTTTGTTGCAAATCGAATTAGACTGAGAGCCTTAGTCTGCTCTACGTAAGTACCGTGTAGGCCTCCGGATTCCGAAGAGATGTTTACAGCCAGTCCTCAAAACCGCGAGAGACTTTGCCTGCTGCTAGTCAATGTATAGGAAGGTTATTCCATAGAACTGCTCCAGAAAAACTATTTTTCTTAACATTTGTCTGGGGTAGAGGAATAGAGAGTTTGCTGTTGGTGTCTCTCAAAACGTAATTAGAGGCATTGCAACGATCTGCCATTGCTACGATCTATTATGCACTTAACAAGGCCCCCCAAGGTACTTAAGATATATGACGCATACAGGGTGTTTCAAAAGTTCGTTCCGATTTTTTCTTCTCTTCTTGCCCTCAGGTTTTCATCGGTTGTCTGAATAACCGTATGCAACTAATTATGTAAAAAAAAGCAAAACAAAACAAAACAAACAAACAAAAAACTTTTACTGTATATAATAACAATAATAACAATTTATCAATTTATATAGCGCGTATTTACATGTGCTGATCAATAGCGCTTATCATATCTTATGGGGCAGCTCTTAGAAATGATGCCCTGCATTATTAAAAGGGGGAAATGGGCGCTTTGCGAGGTAGAGCCAACAATCCATCCACTCCTAAAAGTTTCACTCTTTCGCACTGTACCTTAATCAGCTTATCATCCGCCCGATTGATTTGTTATCAAAAAGTACAAAAGAAGTAGTGAGTGAAACGCCAACACAGGATCGGGGTTGGGATCCGCTGCCCTTTATTTCTTGTTATTATTTTTTTGTTGTTTTGAGTGAAATCTGTTAAAACAACTGAAAAAGAAACACGAGTTTTAGTCGCGACTTGAGCAAGAAAACAGAAGAGGAACTGAAACGTTACGACAAGGACCACATTAGTTGCCATAAAACTGATCGGATGGACTGATGATCAGTGGCCAATCTAAAACCTAGAGCATCATCAAAGAGTACTTGGGCCATATTTTACGATAAAGAAGCGTCACCGTTACTGATTGTCTCCAGTCCTCATATCCGCTACACGATATAGGCGTTGATCCAGTCGATGGCATGCTCCTCTTAGGCTCAGTCTCCAGCCTCGGGTGTCTCGATGTGCCCTCAGAACTCCCCACCGGACGGCTGGGCGCACGGGCTTAGCTATTGTTAAAATTGACCAATCAGAAGCCAGTCCGAAGAATTTTGCGGGCTGGCTTCTGATTGGAAGTGAAGTTATTTTAGTAAGCAAAGGTTGCGGGCGACACAAGATTGAAAATGGTTGCTTTTTCGGCCTTAAAGTTTGTTCTTGATAATTTCAAGGAAAAGGAGAGTCTGGCTTTTAAGGAGCCTATTCTGGTGCGAGATAAATTTCTTATTCTACCAATGAGTTCATGAAAATCTTTAAGTTTTCAATCGTTTCGCGTGGTAATGGTTACATAGAAGGCAACCAATCTGCAGAGCTTATTATCATGGTAGTCTTTCCACTTCTGTCCTTGAAGAAAGGGCAAGTAAGTTTATACTGCAAAGGTATAAAAGCAGCTTCCCTCGGTAAAGGACAATTATGTAATTATAAGTGGCGTTTAGAAGTAGTTTCATTCAACTCACTCTGCGCTACTTCATAAAGTCGGAGTCACTTTATAAAACGGTACTTCTCAGTACTACCGTACTACCGCTGCCTGGAAACGAGGTGTATCGCAAATACAGCCTCGTTTCCAGACAAATGAACGATCGATCAACCTCGTTTCCAAGTCAATGTACCCTTAAGTCGATTATTGTTGTTTTTATTTTTCTGTGTGCTTCTCTGCCGTAGCAAAAAAGCAACCGTAAACGACACGAAAAAACTATGAAAAATAAGTCTGGACACCACCAACCTCCTCCCTTACAAAGTTCGGTTATTATTTAAACTTGTCTATCAGCTTACAGTATTCATGAGAGATAAGATTGGTTTATGCGTACGACATAGGCAAATAAATAAAAAGACAAGGCAAACGTTTTCGTTCTCTTTTGCTTGTGAGTTAATTGCTATTGCCTCTCCTAGTTTCACGCGTAAACGAGAAAGACTCAAGAATAGGTATATTGAAGCATAAGAGAATTTTCTCAGTCATTTTCTCTTCTCTAAGTTCATGCTTACGCCACACTAGTTTGCTGAGTGATTTCATGCACATGGCGCTCGTCACAAAACCCCTCCATTTGGATTTACACGTTGACGTCAGAAGAAAATCGCCAAAACGATTGTTCTTCTGCGCCTGCATATTTCACCTTATGCTTAATATGCCTTATAACACGTGGAAACTTCCTCAACAGCTTATGATTGTGCTTATGCTCGTACTGCACGTTAAAATCGAGTCAAGGCAGGCTGCCTTAACTCTTTAAGCCTCTCTGACTATCTGGACCTTATTCTGTGAACGGTATCCTCTTGAGCTAAGAATATTATAAAAGTAGTGTTTTTACTAAACGGAGCGGTACAGTAATATGGAATCAGCTTGTTTTATTCAATGAACAGAAACAACAATCGTGCCTCGTATCGCATGATTGTTAGGGGATAACTGCATGGCCAGCTTAGGCATCTCCAAACTGTCACCAAGTGAACGCTACATTTCGCCTAGGCTTCATTATTGTAATTATTATTTCTTTTTATTACAGAATGCCAGAGTTACGTAAGTCTTAACGCAGCTGACAGAAAGATAACGTACCCGAATTACAACACTTACTGTGACGATGCAATTGGACCTGGATGGTACCGTTTTGAGGGGTCTTCTGGCACAAGAATGCCAACTTCATGTCCACCTAAAAACAGGTGTAATACTCACGCACCCGGCTGGTTAAATGGAGGGCATCCCACAATAGCAGACGGTCAGGTCAGCAGGACGGTGTGTTTCCACTGGAGTAGTAACTGCTGTGAATGGTCAACAAACATCAAAGTGAGAAATTGTGGTTCACATTATGTGTATTATCTTAGTGGTACACCTGTTTGTAGTCTCCGTTATTGTGGCACTAACTAAAAACAAGGTGCAAGTAAAGTATTACATATTCTTAATTGACTATCATTTCACTAAAGTAGGCTTCATTGTTTTAAAAAAAGAAAAAAAAAATAGGAAAAACTGCACTTAACTTCAATATCTGAATTTCTATAACTTAAGCAAAGGGAGGAAAAAACTACGAGGTAGCACAACTTACTACTCGCGTTACCAAGCAAGAACAGTTTTCTTGAAACTTAATATGAGGATAATTTTCTTTTTAATCAGTATTAAAGATCAAGTAAGGAATAAACATTTATATTAATAGAACTTACCAGGAAGTCAAAGTAGGTAAAATAATACATTAAATTAGCAATGCAGAAATGTACACTTCAACCTAGCAGATGTGCCGGGAAGGGCGGGGTATGGATCTGCTTACTTGTTTTAATATTGATCTGTATAGGGATGCACTCTGTAAAATCGGAAACGAAATGCATAACGACCACAGGTACAGTCAACTCTCGTTTTCGCACACGCCGGCAATACGAACAGGGGCTAAATTCCCTTTCTACGGCAGACTCTTGCTTGCTAACAAGGACACTAACTTGCTGTCCCGATGGGAGTTGCACCCCAAGTGTTGAGGCAATTCTTGGATTAGGATTGGAGTTTCTATGAGAAATAAACGTACAATTTAAAGTGAAATACCTGTCACATGCGTGTGTTTTTATTGAGTATAACAATAAGCTAATTGCACGTTGGCGTCAGTACCAGAATCCTCTAAACGCCGGATTACGTAAAGCGTTCTACCGATTGAGCTAAATCCACTGGCCAGAAGGTGGAGTTTTACCGCGTGAATCAAGTGTGCAAGTCGTGTCAAATGTCAATCGCATACATGCGCGTGCTGAAAGCGAGAAACCCAACGAATCGACTCTAGAAAGAAAATTGAGATTAACCTAGGAATCAAAGGACGGCGAAATTTAAACAGGCTGTCATGCTAAGAAGAGGGTCCTCAGCAGGTTTTTCGGGATACGGGATTTCCCTTATTTGAAACTCGGGATTCGGGATATTAAATCGGGGCGGATTCTGGATTAACGGTATACTTGGGAGGTAGGATGCCAAAAAACCCCCGGGATTATGGGATTGCACGAAGTTTTGGGTCGGGATTACGGGATTGAAGAACCCTATGGGGGACCCTGTAAGAATGACAGCCTGCTATATAAATCCCCCGTCGTTAGCCACATAAAAACACCGAGCTTTTTAACTCAGTTGTTATACGGCTAGATTTTAGTCGATTCGCTGTGGTATACTAAACACCACTCAGGCCTTTGCCAGCCTTACGTTATTCAGGGGCACCCGACGCATTTGAAAATGTCTTTTTAGGCTATAAAGAGTACATTTAGATCTCTAGAAATACATTCTAAAGCGGCGCTATTAGAATTTGTATCTGTTCGGTCATCCTAGGGCAACTTGAGTCTTTTCGAAATTAAAATCGCCTCAGTATTATTTTCTCGAAAATTTTAGAAGCAATCTAAAGTTTTACGAAAGTAAGAAATTTTCTGATTCCTCCCTATGTTACATTTTCGAATCCGAAAATATAGCTTTCCTTTTTCGGAAGAAAAATAGCTTAACCTTTTGAGTGAAATGCAAAAAAAATTAAACTTTAGAAAATCGTTGGAAATTGATTAGATAGGCTTCGAAAAATGTACCGTGAATCAGTGAATGGAACGGTCATCGAGAAATATTTAGCCTTCATCAAGCTATAGAAAGTTCTAGGCAATTTTTGGTTCTCCGAACAGATATTTGACTGAAAACTGTCGTTGGGTGCGCCTGCTTATTAACGTCTCCCCGAAAGCCACCTTCGTTGCTAATAACGCTACCCAAACAAAGATACAAAGTCATCAATGAATTCCAGTTTCATGAAATCTGGGGTGAGATCATCGCCTTCTCGGTCGCTTCATTTAAGGGAATACAACACAGTCCTGGATTCTGGATTCTACGCTTTGGATTCCGAATTCCAAAGCCCATGATCCCGAATTCCTCCATCAAAAATTCCAAGATTCCTGATTTGGGTTCCCTTGCACGGCGCGAGCCTTGGGCTTCAGGCAAATCCATTTAATTACTTTTTCTTCTTGAGGACGAATTACTCAAGAGTATAGCCAAATCATCAGCAGTTCTTCAAGATGGGTAAAGAAGGTCGAACTGTATTATACCTCTATGTTGACCTGTATCTCTCAGGATGGCATTGACCAATTTTATAGACAGAGGATTCAGCCATTCAATCCTGCCTTACTCCAGCTAGAGTTAACAGCAAATGCCTCTGAGAGCGTATTGCGAGGATGATGTTGGATTTATTTAAAAGTGGTCGTAAGAAAAGCAGAGACGTAGCAAGCGAGGTAAGGGGGAGGGGGGGAAGGGCAGGGGGGGGGGCAGCTGCCCCCCCTGGACCTGTTGAACTTGACAAATTTTAATTTAAAGACTTAAAAGTCTGTGGATGGGTTTGTTTTCTTTAGGGACGGTTAAGTCAGTTATTTTGATTGTAGTGACTTGCAATTGTTTGCCATTTTCATGGCCGAGAAATTGGTTGGTCCACGGTGTGTGCAAATAGTAAGGAAAAGGAAGCAAACCCCCCTTTTGAAATTGGCGTGTGTATTGGCTATGGACACGTTCTTCAATGACAGAAGAACGCTTTAGTGGCCTCGCAATGATGATTATTCATAGTGGAACCAACTACATGCCAACGCCAATGAATATTTATGAAGGAAAATCAAACTGAAGACATCTTTTAATAGGTTAGCCAAACATCATGCAGTATTGTGAAATGTTTAGTGCACTAGTGCCTGGATATACGTTGTGTTTCAAATTAACAGGACCTCGGAAATAAGCACTTGTAAGCACTGAAAACACCTGTCTTTTCAGATCACACTTCTTCTTGGTCGAATTTTCGCAGACATATCTCATGACAAGTACTGAAAATAGCGTTTCGGAGCCTCCAAATTTAACTTGACCCCAGACCCCCTACAAGACTTGTGCCTTAAGCACTCGCGATAATGCATTCCCCGCCTCTTCCTCCGTGGAGACCTGCCTGTTCTTCTCTTAGCCTACTCTAAATCGCTTTTTTAATTATCGCCGCCGTAAGAACCTGCAGACACTTAACGATTATCTTACATTGGATTAAAAATGTGATCTCTCTCACAGTTGTGTGGAAATTCTAGTTTTATTTCTCTAAAGCATTAACAACAATACGAAATGTAATTCAGTGCATTTACTATTATTCTGGGAAGTGCATGAAAAAGAAACAACAGTCGATGGGACTTGTAATTTGCGAGCGCAAAACTATTAGTTTGACACGTAGGTCGAAGAAAATACCCTTGATGAAGGCTATCAATGTACAGCTGAGTGTAAAATTTAATGGTTGGAAAAGTTCTTTGTTAAAGGAAAGAAAAAGGTAAAGAAAATGCATATATGCTTGATAACCTTTTGTGAAAAAAATTATCAGTAATCGGTACGGGGAACTGGGAATAGGAATAATTCTGTGAGGCGTATCAGGTAAAAGAAAAAGCATGGGGTTGTGACATTCAAGAGTAAATCGATGCCTGCATCTGGTATGAACAGCAAAAAAAAGAACACGGGTTGGATACAGGAATGTAGCCATGATTTCCAAGGGAAGCCCGACACTCAAAAATATTTCCAGGTGAAAGTCTTGTTTCCTTGAGGGAAAATAAGAGAGGTGGGAATAGCCCAATCAAAAGGAGCCTGAATTAAGTGTGTTCATGTGAGTTTAAACGTTTTACATTTTTAGGCCACTATAATGTGATTTGAAAATGAAATGATTAAACATAATTATATCCCGTTTAGGTAAATCAGTGCTTTACTTCTCCCTTCACTGTCAACGCAACAGAAATAATGACTTTAAGCGATCACAGTGGAAATATTATTTTCAAGAAAGGTTAAAGCAACTATTTCGGGAGAGCAACACGTCTCACCTGTCCTCTACGCAAGGGTCGGCCAGGGGGGGTAGTGGTATACCAGTATACCCGCAAAAAATTCGCCAAAATACCCAAAATTCATCCAAATATACCCAAAATTATACCCAGGTATACTTTATACCTGAAATTCAAAGAAAGTGATATACCAAATACCCGTATTTAAGCTGCAATATACCGTATACCCGATTTAAAAAGCCCCTGTATACCGTATACCCAAAAACCCTGGCCGACCCTGTATAATGCTTCTAACACAAGGAAGTCATGGTACACCTACCTTTTAGAAGATGTTCATGTGTTTACTCATTGCTCTTTACCAACACATTTCATAAAGTGCTGATAAGTTGTGTCATTTTTCTACGCTGAATTGTAAGTTTCGTTGAAAGGAAGAAATAAGGATATCGTGTGGGGTGCATGTGGAAGAAGCTACTTCAGAAGGACATTACGCTCCCCGGTTTAACAGTATGCATATTGAATCCACCAAAGATCAGATATGGTTCAGAGCTAACGCTGCCCAAATATATAAAAGGTCACCAGTGGAATCCAGTTCCGTGTCATTTAGGGTGAAAGCATCGCCTTAGTCTTTCAGACCTTGTTGATATGCAAACGCAGGGTAATCAGCTTATGACAAAACCATTTACTGTCTTTTCCTTCTGAAAGATAAGGATAATTAACAGAATGCACTTCGGAGGGAGTACATACAAATCATCAATGATTACAGAAACACTTGTAGATGGGAAAACAGCCTTCATTGAATACCTCTGAGTTGAACTGTATTCTCGATTATGGTAACAAGTACAATATCCAAGGGCAAAGAGAGTACGAGAGACAAATTGGTCTTCTTTTGTTTGCGTTCTCGATAAAACGTGAAATTATAGGCTGTATGGCGCGTCGTAGCCATGCATTAGTGGGAAAAAGAACTCTACAAAAAAGCTAAGTATGCTTGCGCGTGCAAAGTTGTTGTAGGCTCAAGGCCCAGGTAACCCAAAGTGATGGAACGGCGCGGCCCTATCCTCCGTGTAAGCCTTCCGGTTCCTCTGCTAGCTTGCTGCAAATCTCTTC